ACTTCAAATCCCATATCAATGATATGGGTTTTTTTTATCAGAACACCTGATTTCGAGATAAAGGCACTGAAGTAGCTAGATAGAAAAATTAACTTTTTCTATACTCTGTGCGCTGTCTTTTGTAGGTCTATATACTATTGTGTTTTGTTGTTCCATGTGCAAAGTGGAGGGTTCTTGGTCAATATTGAAATCAGAAATAGTATTTACTTTTTATTCCATAGGTAATTACTTATAGCAAATAGATATAATAGCATACATGTAGGTCTATTATTTTTTAAATAAAACATCCCTTGCACTTAAATTTTTCTGATATATATCCACATGATGTTGTTTATTTAAGTTACAGGAACTTTAAATGTAATTTACATTAAATACAGAGTCTTCTAGATGAAATAAAGGCTACAGACAACAGTCATGAATTTGATGTTGAAGATGGCGGAATCAACCAAGAAACTAAATCTTCTGACAAATATGTCAACTATCAATATATGAAGATGATGTTGAAGAGGGCGGAAACAACCAAGAAGCTAAAACTTCAGACAAATATGTCAACTATCAATATATGAAGATGATGTTGAAGAGGACGGAAACAACCAAGAAGCTAAAACTTCAGACAAATATGTCAACTATCAATATATGAAGATGATGTTGAAGAGGGTGGAAACAACCAAGAAGCTAAAACTTCAGACAAATATGTCAACTATCAATATATGAAGATGATGTTGAAGAGGGCGGAAACAACCAAGAAGCTAAAACTTCAGACAAATATGTCAACTATCAATATATGAAGATGATGTTGAAGAGGGTGGAAACAACCAAGAAACTAAATCTTCAAACCAATATGTCAACTATCAATATAGGCCCTACGCATGTGGTGATGAATACTTTGCTGAAAAGATTGCTTCAGGAGGTGGAGTGCAGTCGACAATGCTGAAGGTTCAGGAAAAGCTGCAAACAAACCTTGACCTCCATTCAAAGAAGAGTATATAGCCTGAGAACATAAATATAGCACTGTTAGGGAAGGCACGAGATGGTGTCAGAGATGCCGATGTGATTTATTCAGACGTCTTCTTGGTGTCAATAGGGCAAGCACAAATTGCCGAATGTTCAATTGAAGCTCTAAAGGTATTATTTACTTGTTAAATCCCACAGCAATATATGAAACTAAAGAGAGCTCTGAACAGTTCTAATTTGAAGAACAGTTTGATTATAGCCTCAAGACAAAAAGAGGGTACTAGGCCTATCAGTTTTTGTGAAAAGAAAATAGTCCCACACAATTCTCTTGCGAAAACTGTATTAAAAAACACAGCCTACAGTAACTTATATTTATTTTGTACCGTACATTTATGTAATGTGTGGGAAGAGTCTAAGCATAAAAATTATTGTAGCCTACAAATTCTGTGATAAATAAATTATGTGATGAAAAATTCAGACACAGATTTACACAGCAACAGATACATAAAGTTGTAAAATTTATATTTATTTCACATGAATTGATATTAAAAACAATAGTGTTGAATATGATAAACAAACGCTATTTAGAAAAACAAGGTAACTTAAGCAAAGATTAATATGTATCCTAATCCCAATGAATAGAGAAATCATTGAAGTTGGGAAATTAGTTCACCCACAATTGATTTAAGAGATTTAATGTGCTTGCAATTTAACTCTTCAGCTTTCATCAAATCTATGGTTTTCCAAACTAACTTTTTAATGTAATTTAGGTTTAGGCCTACTGTTTATTATTTTTTTGTTAGACCTATAGGCCTAGGCAGAGAGTTCCAAGAAGGCCATAGGGCTCGGTAGGAAGAGGTGGATTTTTACAGAAATTACGCCCTTACAAGATCTCTGAAATTACCTCAAAATCGCCTAAAACCTGAGAATATCAGTGTAAGTTGAGTGGTGGAGAATAAGTTGGACATGACATTTGCTTTGAAAATTGTAGCCCCTCATCAGCTGCCAAAGGAACGGAATCGCTCAGTTGCCAACCAGCCTCACTTTAGCTTAAAAATGTATTAGTCAACAGTGGATATCTTTGGATAACCAACCGGAAGTGTAAAAATGCCAATTGAAAACCATCAGCATAGGCTTACTTCACTCGCAGTTCATTCCACTTGTAAAATGTCACCCTTCCTAAAATTTACCTTGTTTGTTATACCTATCTGAAACCCCCCAAGTTTGGCTGTCATTGATCAAATTGCACTATTTTATTGACCCTGACAAAATATGATAGGCTATAAGTTAATTGGGAGTTACTTTGATATCTGGCCTAGTCCTAAGCTTATAACCATCAGTCGAAAGCGCATTCATCTCAAAACGGCCAAAACTTTAGAATAGGCTATATCATAGGTAGGCTATATCTCAAGTTAAGTTGTTTGATTTATTTTATTTTTCTGAAATAGATAGCCCAATCATCCAGTACAATCCACACTGTTTATTGCAAGACGTAATAACTTAGTTAGGCCTAGGTAGCCTAGGCTAATAATATTACAACAGACCTTAGACTCCTGACAGACAGAATATTTCTGAATCAGACGACAACCGACCCAACCGACGAAAAGAGCAATTCAGTGATAATAATTATTAAAATGGTTAGGTTGAAAATATAAAAAATAGGATATATCGTGTGGATTTTTAGCAAAACTATTAAAAATCAACAGTAATTATTAAAGCTAAGGATGATTTTAGAATAAGTTGGTTTTGGATTAGCTTGGACTTATTGGCTTTGGGAACTTACTACCCTGGAAAGTTTAGAATCATAACTTAATGTACAAACACTTAAGCAGCTCATTAAGTCATTTACTCTATGAATGAAAAGGAGCAAAGTTGTTCTCTTTTTCTTTGTCTACAGTACACTGTAAAACTGTAAATCTTAAAAATTAAACAAATAAAAAGAATGGCGTTCCATGGCCCATGTTAAATTTTCAAGTTTGTACACGCATATTATGGCGAAAATAGATTTTTCCTGGCTTACCACTGGTCTTAAACTTATTTGTGACACAGAACTTAGTTATACCGCAAGTATAAACGTGTTTATAACGTGTTTAGCCTATATGTGCCAATTCCGAGATCGAAATGTAATTCAAAAATTGTGAGTTTGTGTGTTGCTCAATCACGCATAAACTACTGGACGGATTGGGCTGAAATTTGGCATGATGATAGCTCACTTTCCCGATTAACATTTAGGCATATTCTTATCTCAAAAATCGTTTTGGGCTCCGCCCCAGTGCCTCTGTAGTTCCCCATGTTAACCTTATGAGTATTCATATTTTAAGGGAATTAAAGAATTTAGTCAGCTGTTTCAACTTCACAAGTTGGTTGGATAATATGCAATAGCATTAAAAAGTTGTAAGGTTTCCCAACAGGGTGTAGCACTACCTACATATTATTATTTTGTTTTTGCATATATGACAACAGCTAATTTGAACCTGACAACAGTTAGGTTTGAGTTTTTAATTTAATGAATAATTTGTGATATTGTGCGAATGTTTGATAGCCTAATTTATTTGTTTCTATTGTTTAGGTGCAGTGGTAGAACATTATGGCAATGGTATATGTGTTGGTGTACTTTATCATACCATAAATTTATGAAACAAATTCTATCAAACTGCGTCCTGCTCCATTGCAAACGCAAAGCTTGAGTAGGCCTATAACTGCACTAAGCATTTTAAACTTATATAGAACTTGTCTGAGCCTATAACTTAGCCATAAGTCATTCACTGCTTTACTTCACTCTTAATAATGTAGGTTTAAACCAGAGTCGTTCTACAAAACTGTTGTAGTGTAGTACCTAACTTAGGCTACTGTAACTTAGTGGCCTATGCCTCAGTAAATTAGGCCTACTATTTAAAAGGTTAGACAAATAAGACAGGTTTAACTTGAATATAACTTCAAAGGCTATTTCAATCTCAGCTTACCGGGAAGCCAGACAATAAGAATGATGACAATTAAACCACACAAAAGTACTACCCGTATCATAACATAGACAAACCTAACCTTTCAAGTAATCCCTATAACCTTATATAAGTAATTCCTAGTGTGCTGTCAGAATTCCTCGCTTAGGTCAGTGAACATTTTGATATTAAATTTGTTTAAGAAGTCACTTACTGTAAGTTAGGCTACTTATTTATTTATTGCCAACGGATTTCACCAATTTAAACAATAGGGTATTGAATTACAATATTTACTTAGGAGTTAGGTACTCATCAGTTAGTACCCTATGTGGGTTAAAATATTTAAAAGTTATGTTAAAGTTAGATAGCCTAGGTATATTTTATTAAGCTATACCGATAAATTGAAGGACCTATGCAACCGACTAATTTGGCCTAAGTTTAGTCAGTGAGTCGGTGAACTAAACTAACTTAATTAGGTTAATAGCTCAGTAGCATTATTACCACCTCAGTGGCCCAGACTGTGTAACTGAGCTAATCAAAACATTGTAAGTTATAAGTACGTAGAGGTAGGTATATAGCAGGTTAATAAACTACGCAGCTTGGGGCTAGTTTCTTAACTGGGCTAACACACACCACTTAAATCGATTGAAAATATTGATTTAATTTGTTAACCTTCATTAGATTTTCTCATTATTATCAAGTTTGGTTGGTTAGGTTAGGTTAAAACAGTTTCATTTTATAATTGATATAGGTTTGGTAAACTATAGAAAAAAATTGAATGAAGGTTTACTAATCGAATCGGTATTTTCAATGGATATTAGCATAGCCCAATTAAGAAACTGTACCCCGGCTTGGTTTATAAATATGCCAACAGTAAATAATTTCAACAAACAAAACAAATCCAAACCTAGGCTCACAAACGAAGAAACGTCAGTTTTGCTAAGGTCATTTCGAATAAGTCTTACGGCTCTGTCCTAAAAGTAAATATGAACTAAAAACAAGTAAGAGCTTTAATTGCTGCGTTTAAAAACCATTCAAGCGATATTGAATTTCATTTTAAACACATCACAAGAATAGAATGCCCAAAAACACCAAATAGAAACTCACCTTTAGCTTCTTCAGCAATGTAAAGGGGAGACGATTCCTCCTGAGTTTGTCCTGTCACTCAACTATAAGTAGTCACATTGAAAATAATACAAAATCCACTTATTTCACTACCTTAAAATGCAGACCCCTAAAAGTAACACTGTCTAGGTAGGACGCTGAAATAGCTTTATAAACCCGAAACCCGAATACTGCAGAATAAACTACGCCTACAAAAGCTCCATTACTCCCTTTACTACTGTTGTTAAATGCTGCTGTAGTGAAGTGAGTGATGCTTAGATGCTGCTGCTGTGTCTGTGTGTGTATAGTTCTTCTTTTTCTTTTAGAAACAGACCGACAGAAATACGCTATAAACGTTCGGCTGTTTCGAAGAGACGGTAAAAAAGTGTTCTTGGAATTTACTAGCCAATATAACCACAACTCGGCTTGAGTAGAAACAGATACTGTATAACAATATCACAACTTGCATAAATGGACGAAACGTCATTTAAATAGTAATGTATCTTAGTAATGTCGGTGGTCCTTGGTCTCGCCGTAGAAGACTCTTGATGTCTGCAGTCCAGTCCTTGCTTCTCTATGGATCTGAGGTGTGGGGCACACTGCCAACTGCCACACTGTGGGCAGACGCGCTCAACAAGGAGGCGTACACAGGTAGAGGCTCGCACTAGTGCAGCGTCAGGTGGCACTCAGCCCACTCAGAGTCGCTTCGGCTTACCCTACGGTGTCCAAAACGGCCGTTTTGGTGATTGCTGGAGTTATCCCTGTCAAAGTCTTGGCAGTGGAGAGGAAAGCAATCTACCATGATACAAGGCTACATCGGGAAGGACGCTTCCACACTTTTCAGATGTGACAAGAAAGCTGGGAAAGGGAGACTCGAGGACGTTGGACTGACAGAATCATCAGACAAATCCAACTGTGGGTGGAACGGCAGCACGGTAAGGTTGACTACTATCTCAAGCAGTTCTTGTCAGTCACGGCTATGTTCAGTCGTACCTGCCCTTGATGGCCAAAACGAATTCACCTGGCTGTATTTACTGCTCATGCATTCTTGACGACGCGACACACACTTTTTTCCGCTGTCCTCGATGCGATATATGCTCCGCTGGGAGGCCACTCAACATCTTGGGGTGCAGTCCCTAAAAATAAAAATAAATCATTGCACACACATACGTTCAAAGCCTTCCGTACTTGATACCTTTTCAGTAACGCCGTTGCAGTAATCAAACTAAACATTTTAGATATTTGACCTTGATTCTTCAATTTTAGTCAAGCCTCTTTTCCTTACCTGTAGCTTATTATTATATAAATTACAATGTAAGCTAAAAGCAAAATTCAACAAAATGTCTACTTTCTTTAACCAAACATAAACATCCTATAACTCACAAATCAACAGAATGCAAAAATACCATCAAAAATCCTTTCAAGTAAATAAGTAAACTGCTCTTAATAGATTGACCAGCTATTTCATTTAATTGATTAAATAATGTAAACTTCGAAAGCATGTAAGGTTCCCTTTGGGGCAGCCTTTGAGGCAGTACCTTAGGGAATTTGTTCATACCCATGTTCATACCAATACTTCTGTATGGCTTGTGCCAACCCCCCCCCCTGAAAAAATCTTTTGAGCCTATGATATTATTGTACAGGTGTTCGGAAAGATGCAAACAAGGGAACTTGAAAACATGGAATGTTCCGGACAAAATATATATTATGTGAGCCGAATGTGAACGAAAGGAGGGTAACTAGGCTCTCTGAACGACTCTTTAAATCAATTCGTTCTTCTGTTTCAAATCATGGTTTGCTATTCATGTTTAAATAAATCTGTACTTTTTCTTAAATATTGATTCTTTTTTTTTTTAAGAATGCGTTTATATTTGTTATAATATATAAAAATTGGATTTATATCCAAATTAAAACAGCCAGAAGGACATATATAAAACAGAAAACATAGAAGAGGAAGGATACAGGTCAAGATTACGGATCTTGGATAGGTTTAAAAGAAGGCATGGATTAGTGGTTTTCATGGGTTTCACTGACGGTAAATATGGACTTTTAGATAAATAAAAGCATAGACAAAAACAATTAAATATTTATAACTATAATTGGCCGGCGTTTTAGCCGTGTCTTTGAACTGTGCCACGGCCGCCTTTAACTCCAGGGCGCGGCCTGTAGTTAAAGGCGGCCGTGACAGTGCCCACCATAGATTAAACACACTCCCTTACGCATAATCTACACAATCCGTAAAAAAACAGAGGAACTATTGTTAGAATGACTGAAATATTTTAAAAACTTCTAAAATGCATAGATTGGTTTTTTTTATAAGGGTTTGAATATAAGTAACTGAAGGATTGGTTATAGCAATTATTGTTGATGTATTTTTTTATAGTACCACCATTTTAACAATTTATTTATTCTTTCTCTTTGGGGACCTAATGAAGATTGCCAATGCCATCTGCAATGCCGTTCTGTCTGACTATGGATGGAAGTTCATTAGTCTTGTAATCCTGTAATTTTGTGTCTACTGAAACGTAAAACTCGGGCTAGTGATTAAATCCTAATTTTAGTTATATGTTTTGCCCTTTGATTCTGTGTAAAAGTGAATATTGTGTGCATTTGTGATGGCTAGCCACCAATTCTCTCGGGTTGCAAATCGTATTTGTTAATAATTGTTTTCATTTGTTCTAAACTTGACAGACAGCTATGACTTTTTGTCCACATATTTAGTCCTAGTCTAGCCTTTAACCTTGTAGACGATGCCTATGCGGGTGGTTAACCCGGAAATAAGGTCTACATTTAATCAGCGTGAAACTGGCAATAGGACAGCAATAACCCATTCCACTTCTCCTACCGCCCCTCCGACGAATATACGTCACAGTAAAACGTCACAACAATGATGGCGTCACAGTAGGATTCGTCACAAAGCAGCTGACATAACCTCCAAAATATCAAGTGGCGGGAATTTTTTTTTTGCGAAACACGGCCAAGATGGCGTTTGGCGGTACACGCACAGCGTTGATTATGAAGGTTAAGTAATATATATGTATAAAACTGTACAATACGTTGAATGTTAAACTAGTATTTCATTATTTGGAGAATAAAGAACAATATTAAACACGTTTGAGGTTATTTAAAGTAGTAACCACCTTCAATTTTTTCCAAATGATAAAATTATTAGCTGACTACCATAAAAACCTATTGCTGGCGGTTCCCCTTAAGTTTTTCTCTCGTTTTTCTTTTGATATATGTTAAACACATGGTTATGAACAAAAAATGACGTATTCAAGGTTAGCCCACTCTTTACTAGTGTAGCTATGTAGCCTGGAATGCACTTCATGTGACCTTGATTGCACGACGACGCTATTACTAAAATTCATGTTTTATATGTCTATTTACATTATGTAGAGCATATTGCACAACACCAAGCACTTTTTAGCTAATTAAGTAGTTACCGCATCGATTTGAATCCAAATCTAAAATTACTATTTGACTACCATAAAAACCTATTGCTGGCAATTCCCCTTAAATTTTTCTTCAGTTTTTCTTTTGATACGCGTTAAACACATGGTTATGAACAAAAAATTACCTCTTCTAGGTTAGCCCACTCTTTAATAGTGTAGCTATGTATCCTGGAATGCACTTCGTGTGACCTCGGTTGCACGCCGATGCTATTACAAAAATGTATGTTCTAAATGTCTATTTACATTATTTATCTGGTATTGAACAATACTGGGCACTTTTAAGCTTATTAATGTAGAAATCACCTTGATATTAATACAAACTAATAAACTACCTAAAATTACTAACTAAATATAGTAAAAAACCTATTGCTGGCATCTCCTCTTAAATTTTTTTCTCGTTTTTCTTTTGATATGTGTTAAACACATTGTTATGAACATAAAATGACGTAGTATAGGTTAGCCCACTTTTTAGTAGTGTAGCTATGCAGCCTGGAATGGACCTCATAATAGAATAATAAATTACCATAAATTTCTATTGCTGGCCTATCCCTTTGGTACGATTTTCTTTATTCTTTCAAAATATGTTTATTACATCATTACGAACTAGAAAACACGTCGCCTAGGTTAGCCCACTCCTTTATAGTTGAGATAGGTAACTTTGAATTAAACTGGTGTGACCTCGGTTCCATAAGAATCTAATTTACTAAAAATCAACTTTTTCGTTTATACATGTTAGTTACACCTTAATAAACAATCCCTAACACCATTTCGATAAAAAATATTATTATTTATCAATTTAATGCATTATTTAAATTCTGCCTCAATAGAACAATAAATTACCATAAATTTCTATTGCTGGCCTATCCCTTTGGCACGATTTTCTTTATTATTTCAAAATATGTTTATTACATCATTACGAACTAGAAAACACGTCGCCTAGGTTAGCCCACTCCTTTATAGTTGAGATAGGCCATTTTGATTGTAGCTGGTGTGACCTCGGTTCCATAAGAACCTAATTTACTAAAAACCAACTTTTTCGTTTATACATGATAGTTACACCTAAATAAACAATCCCTAACACCATTTCGATAAAAAATATTATTATTTATCAATTTAATGCATTTTTTAAAATCTGCCTCAATAGAACAATAAATTACCATAAATTTCTATTGCTGGCCTATCCCTTTGGCACGATTTTCTTTATTCTTTCAAAATATGTTTATTACATCATTACGAACTAGAAAACACGTCGCCTAGGTTCGTACACTCATTTATAGTTGAGATAGGTAACTTTGAATTAAACTGGTGTGACCTCGGTTCCATATGAGCCTAACTTACTAAAAATCAACTTTTTTCGTTTATACATGTTAGTTACACCTTAATAAACAATACCTAACACCATTTCGATAAAAAATATTATTATTTATCAATTTAATGCATTATTTAAAATCTGTCTCAATAGAACAATAAATTACCATAAATTTCTATTGCTGGCCTATCCCTTTGGCACGATTTTCTTTATTCTTTCAAAATATGTTTATTACATCATTACGAACTAGAAAACACGTCGCCTAGGTTAGCCCACTCCTTTATAGCTGAGATAGGCCATTTTGATTGTAGCTGGTGTGACCTCGGTTCCATAAGAACCTAATTTACTAAAACTCAACTTTTTCCGTTTATACATGTTAAATACACCTTAATAAACAATCCCTAACACCATTTCGATAAAAAATATTATTATTTATCAATTTAATGCATTATTTAAAATCTGCCTCAATA